ATTAAAAGTTAATATACTGTTTAATGACTGAGTTAGTAGGTACATTTAATGAACAACGGAAAATATAAAGTTGCTGTAATCCATTAAAGTTGTGACACATTAAGTCTCAGTAAAATGTGAGTTTTGGCAGAACGTTTTGAATTCAGCACTAGGTACACACTTTGTAGCAGAAAGCAACTCAGAGCAGTATATAAGAAAAAATTACTGGAATACAAATTCCTTCAGTTTCTAAACATTGTAACTATATCTCAGAATAAACACAAATATCTTATGTACAAAGTTTTAGTAGCATTACGTACTGCGTTTGATTTTATAAATCCATAAAATTAAAACGCTTAATTTATTTCAAGGACTAAATGATCAAAAAGGAAAACTTTGTTTACCATTATACATAAATCCTTACAAGAGTCCAGAGGGATAATACAGTATTATCAATGGTAGAATTAAATTTATAGACAGTTTTCTGAAAGAGCTTGTCTCGCATTTGGATGGGTTAATATATCTTCAATACACCAAGACTATATACGGGAAGTTTCTTCTGTAGCTTATAACATCCATCAAAATTGGTAATATAGTTATGAATGAAAATGGTGTACATCGTATGCATAAAATAATTTGCAGCAGCTGATTACTTCATTAAGATAATTAATGAATAAAATTAACTGCAACGGGTCAAGTGTAAAACCCTGAGGTACTCTAGAAATTACTGCCTGCCTTCTATTATTTAGAATATGCAATATGCAATATATTTAGCAATGTAGCATATATTCACATTTGTAGCAAATTTTACGATTATATTTCAATAAAGTATTATTTTCATATGAAATTTTTTTTCTTTTCTTCACTGATATAAATCATTATACATAGTTAATATTAATAAATACAGTAACAGTTTTCTCCGTGTAAATTTGCACACAAAATATTTTTTTTGCATATCAGATTACGTTTGAGTAGGTACCTATAGGAAGCGATGAAGGTTATTCTGTTGAATTCGCCAAATTTTATGCAACATTCCAACCCAGAAAACAGCATGAAACCAACTGCTCCAATCATCCGATGTACCGATGAAAGTGTAACATAAATATACAAAACCTGGCTCAATTCCAAAGTCTCAAAACATTACAGTGGTAACTTGAAATAGCCTGTTAAAATTTAAGACAATATGAGCTTGGCTGAATTGTTCCAGTAGATATAATGCTGTAATAGAAACTAAAATGTCGCAGGATATTGCGAGTACGAACTAAACGCAAAGGCTCTACGAATTCTGTATTTCGAGAATCTCAGGAACACTAAAATCTTATTATTTATTATTATTTATTTTATTGGTTAATAAAAATAATTAATTAATTTACTCGTTAATTAATTACATATTCTGAAATAAAAGATTAAACTTGAGAACTGATGGAACAGAATATAGTAATGGTTAGTTAAATATCAGTGCTATTAACAAAATATTGTTAATTCCAATATTTTACTTATAATGTAGTTTTTTTGGGTATGTGACAAAATCTGGAGATACGTCTACGTATTTGTTTATGCTCCACAGTTCTGAAAAAAATTAAATAGACAGAGGAGACTTTCTAATGTAATTTTTATTAGTTACCTGTATGTTAACCTTGATTTATGCGAATAAAGCAGTAAGATATGAAACAGATTTGCTAGTAAAAATCCAAAGACCATCTGTTTTTTATCAAAACATGTGAAATATTTTAGGAATAGTGTGCAGTGTGACTATTGCATTGAGTACATCGAAAAGCTAAGAAAATAAATATATTTGTTGTATTACCTATATTCCTATTATTTCAAATTTGATATTTATTAAGAGTTGCATTACATTTTTTTATAATTTATATGTTTTTGCTTCAATTTGCTCTACAATAACATATATGTTCCAGCTTAAACTCCCCAAGAGATTTATGTTTCTAGAAGTAAGAATCAATAGTAACATTATGTTGCAGTTCATAGACCCCGTTTTAACCACCCTACCTCAAGGGAAGGGTTTAAAAGAAATTATGTTTAACCTTTATTTAGACAGGTTTCGTAGGTGATTCACATAATTTGTGGCATATTTTTGACTTAGTACACCTAGTTGATAGGCAGTAGTATTACATGTGCTATAGGTACACATTCAAAGTTTTTTTAAATATAATATGTTCTATTATTAGCTCTCGTATTTCGAAATATTGAGCTAATTCAAATAAATTCTAAATATTTCTTAAAATTTCTATCAAAACAATGTTCTTTGATACCAAAAATCGTGTACTTATGTAACTACTAACCTCATAAATAAGATTAAATAAGATTCTTAAATGCTGCAATAAATGCAACCAGCAATAAATATTGATTAGATTTTTCCACAGACTTATATACTTAGAAGTCTGTGGACTTTTCCTATCAATGAAATTTTTCGCTTTCATTTTATAGGATTTTTAGGAAAATTTTTGAAATAATTGAATACATTTAAAATAAGATAAAAAAGTATTGAAATTATTTTTATTAATTAAGTTTTTAAGCATAAGTTCACAATTGTAGTGGACAAGAATGAAAAGAAAGATTTATTGTTTTCAAAATAAGGTTGTTATGGAGAATTAAAGTTAAATGCAATGAAGAAAATTTTTTTAGATTTAAGTTATGTTATCAGGATTTCAATTTGTAAGTGCACGTACTAATCTGTACACTATTTTATCAATATAATATTTTCAGTATATCTAATAGATCCTAAGACTCCTATAGCGATAATCAAATTTAATTCATTTTGGACATAAATTTAGCGATTGCTTAAAAATTAACAGCAAGTGTGATTTTTTTATGTGTTGGACAAAAATTGTCTTATAATTTTTGCTTATCTGAACACTAAATAGCTCCATCTTAAGTAATATAATAATAATATTGATCAATTTTTAATTTATAAGGAAATAGCTTTATTTTAATTGTCTGAAATTGATATTTATTATATTTTCTAAATTATTTCGGAATTTATTCAACAAATTCTGATAGCTTTCGGCTAAATTTATATTTTGACATCAACATAGAGCCAATATTAAAAAAATCGAAAAATGTCAATTTTTTATTTTTTAATTTTCTTTTGGTGATTATTTAACTAGTGCCTCTTATATATTTTTTAATTAGAATACAATTTCATCAATATTATTAATGGAGGATTATTAACTTCCATAAGTCCTTCATAATTTGACCACAGGAATGATATTTGCTGCTTTTGTATGCTATTATTATTTAACTTAGAATTTAACCAAAAGTTCGACATATTTTTTTATTTTTATTTTTATTTATTTTCGCGAAAATCTCCTTGAGAATCTAAATTGTCCTTATAGACAAGCAAAAATCATTAGAAGAAAAAGTTGTTTTCTAAAATTATAAGTAAAAAAACTTCCTTATTTGGTGCAAATTTTAATACAACTATTTTTCAATTTTTTAAGTAATCGTACTTTGGAAAAAAAGTACCTGAAAAACCTGGATATATAGGAACATTTTTTGACCATTTAGTAATAAAATAATAACTTTTAGTTGGTTCAAGATGTATAAAACTTTATCGGTGAAGCGTTTTTTATTTTTTTGTTTTTCTTAAGTTCATCAATTTTTTTAGATGTTAAATTTTGTATAAAGAGCTCTTACTTTCGTTAAACAAAATTTTTTATCAAGGGTGACATTTTCTCATAAAATGGGAAAAAACGTTTTTTTCCTTGTTCACTCTAACCTATAAATTGTTGAATTTACTCAATCACTATAAATAGTGTCCATTAATATATATCTGTATCTATTTAGTAAGGTGGTAATTTAACTATTTAACGATTAGAAAGCCTTAATCTCAGTTTTTATATGATCATTGGAATTTCTTAGTCATAGTGGATTGCTTCTATCCGTAGTCCTAGAAAGCGCGGTTATCCTCCAAAATTATTGATATCGGGCGATGAAAGCTTTCAACTATCTTTACTGCCGAATAGTACAGAATACGTAAAAGCAGAAGATAAATACTATAAATTGCTCTGTTTAGAATAAATCTCCGGAACGTAAACGTCTAGATTTTAATAGACTTGTATACCTTGTAGGTGCGCTGAAAATAGACTTCTCCAAATTCTTTTTCGGATGCCGAATACTTTTAACTTTCACATTGACTCCATAGAACAATCGGAGTAGTTAGTATTCCTAGTACATATTTAGTGACATAGAACAACGTATTGCGATTAGAATGGGCGTGGAATGTAAATTATCGCTTTCGGTTAACAAAAATTAGAACACTTTTTAAATAGAATCGACGATTGGGTGAATGAAAAATATTTTGTGACATTGCCAATTGAAAATTATGTTAGACTGTAAAATGTCTATTTTTTCTGTGGTTACAATGCGTTAAAGTAGTTACGTGACATCTGGATACAAATATAAACAATCAAGAGACGCCATATACAGTGTGTCTCCGGATGGGGTACCGCAACCAAAAATTAAAGGCACTTTGCTTAGGCAAAATTTTACATTTTGAAATTTTTTGAACACCGTGTATGTTTTATTACATACATATTTGATTACTACCCATGGCTTCCTAAGCAAAACTTTTTATCAAGAATAACTTTTTCACGGAAAATCAACAATAAAAACGTTACAAAAGTGCGGTACCCAATCTGGGGACACACTGTATATTTTGATCAACAAATCTGAACAAAATAGAATAAAATTTCACATTTCAGTAATTAAAAAACCAGTATTTTGGCTGCGATAACGATAATTGGCCTAAATCCAAACACATTTTTGTAACGAACAAACATATTTTTTAGTACGATCGAACTTTCTTCTCATTTTCTACATATTTCATAGTGTTCCGTACGTCAGTGAATATCCGTATCTAATCTTATGTATTTATAACAAGCGATGACTTTCTGACGGTTCATTGAATAAGAAATAAATTTAACATGTTTTAAATATGTAAAGTTATCTTTATTGTCACTATATTATACTGTAAAACTAATTGGTTGCTATTTTTGTTGCAGAATCGAAGCGTTTCAACAAATATTGATGAATGAGATACCCTTATGAATTACACATAATACATGTAAGTAGATTAGATGCCTTATTCACTTATTATTATTTCCATCTTTATTTCCATTAGTACTTTAGTTTAAAACCAACATTCATTCATCAACGAAAAAGTTTTGTTTCTAGACCATCTTCATGATTATAATATTTAGCTAAATTACATCGAATAGCAATTATTATCACATTTATACTACCAGCATCACAGTGTGAAATAATTATGTTTTTCTAATAAATATGATGACTGTGCATCTTTATTTTTGAGATAATTTTAGATCGAAACTGTCGACGAAGACAAAAAACAAATTTATTATTAAATGTTTATTTATACACATAGCTTTGTAGTGATGATAGGTGGCTCTTATGTGTTATTTATAATCATTTCTTTTATTTGATGGTGATATTTGTTATTTTTTGGTGACCTACTTCAAGCAAACTTGTATACGCCCATTCTGCATTCATAATGTTTAAACATTTATTATTTTGTAGAACATTTATCCAATACACTAACAATAAGAATAATATTTTAACTATATATTTTTTTAATAGCATCAACATGAATTAAAAAGGTGTTTGTTGAATGTTATTCTGGGAGCTAACAAGTTGTAGCTTCCATAACAGTAAAATACACTTTTCGTAAAACTATCCATTTAAAAAATCAAAATTAATATTGATTTCAAAACTTTGATTGTATATGAATCAAAATTCTTATAGCATCTAATTTAAAGTTGCGTATTGATGTTACAATAGATTTATTACCTTAAAAACAATCTTAATCCTAGGTCTACATTTAATGAATAATTAATTGTTTAATATCTGCAATTATTATAGTTATAAATTTATTTTTTTGAGATATTGTGCATCATACATATAATAACCCACATTTTAAAAATATTAACGACACACACAATATATGTAGATACATTTTCTTTACAAGTGCATATATGTATGTTTCGAGTGTATTGTTTGCAGTTTTTTGAATATTCGTTGATTTATTTAAAAAAAATTGACAATTGTTAGAAGTATTGAACATTAGACACTATAGATTTGTTGTAGCGGGAAGGATTCTAAAGATGTTTAGAACTTCTTGATCTTCTGCTGTGTACAGTTGTTTCAATTAATCACCTTTTCCATATCACATATTATTGACCAAGGAAAAAATTCTTTTATTTTGATGTCTCTTTTATGGCACTTTTTGCCAAAAATACCTGTCTACTATACCTTAACAATGAATATATCAATAACTACCGAAACAATGTACGGCATTTTATATAAAACAACCGGTACGGAAAAAAATATTTTCATAATTCCCAAAATTTAACGTCTCACATTGTCTAGTTGAGGAGAGTTATTCACTCAATCCAGACAATGTTCGTATTTATTCAATAATTAGTATTGATTACAAGACTAAATAGCAGGAAATTGAATTTATTTGACAAGTCGGAAATATTACCTCGTGTAGCAATAAGTATTATCCTTTTCCAATGGTGCTGTTTTAAATTACTGTTCTTGTCGGTAGTAATTTTCTCCTTGGTCGCTTTAGGAAAGGATGTGCTTTACGAAATTGGAGTCTTTATTGAAATTCATGGTGTATGCGATAGTTACTTTTCAAAGTTACAAATAGAAGACATGTAAGCAATTTTTTTTTGTTTAAAACTTTCAAATTCTTTGGGGTTATTATAGGTACTTTTATAAAAATCTACATATTTGTTTTGGACAGCTCTTTTAATTCGGTATTTGCAACTGATTGAAGGAGTTGAAGAAAAACTCAATGATTTTTTTCAAATATGAAGTGCTTAAATTCTATTATTGATAACAAGTTGCACCTATGAGAAAAAAAGCATATTAAAATTCTAATATCCAGAGTTTATAGAAAATTGATCATAACTTTTTTGTTTCCAGCTTTTAAAACACAATAACTTACAACTATAGATCATTAAAAAATCTTACAAAAAGTCCTTCTGTTCCAAGTCGATAACATTAACCTTTAGGGATATGGTTTTTGCCCAAATAAAATAAAATAATATTGTTAAATTACACAGGTCAACAAACATTTGATCTAAGAATAATCACCAAACCTGACCAGGGTACTTATTGGTTTTTTGGATCGCTGATTCCGAATCCGAGGTTGGCTAAGCTCCATTACGTCAGGTTCAAGGTCATTTGAAGGTCAAATGGCCAAAAATGGTCTAAAAAATCTGAAAAAATGCATATGTATGTTTTTGGGGTAGCCGAGTTCAAAGCCGCTGCTATTTTCACCATTCAAAGACATCTAAAGGTCGTATCAAGGTCATTTGGAGGTCAAATCGAGAAATATGGTCTAAAAAATCTGAGAAAATTTACACGTAGGTTTTCGGAGTAGCTGAGCTAAAATCAGCTGTCAGTTTCACCATTTAAGTACATCTAAAGGTCGTATCAAGGTCATTTGGAGGTCAAATCGAGAAATATGGTCTAAAAAATCTGGGAAAATTTACACGTATGTTTTTGGAGTAGCTGAGCTAAAATCAGCTGTCAGTTTCACCATTTAAGTACATCTAAAGGTCGTATCAAGGTCATGTCGAGGTCATTTGTAGGTCAAATCGAGAAAATCGGTCTAAAAAATCTGAAAAAATGTATACGTATGTATACGACTCCTGACCAAATGAGGCAAAAACATAAAGGAGGCTAGCCAGTTAAGGCAATTTTCCGGTCAGTTAGGTAGAAATATAAGCGTGTCCAGCCAATTAAGGCAAGACGAGTGAATGTCCTAGCCAGTTAAGGCATGAACAAGAGTGTGTCCAGCCAGTTACGGCAAGACGAGTGAATGTTCCGACCAGTTAAGGCATGAAAAAGAGTGTGTTCAGCCACTTAAGGCAAGACGACTGAATGTCCCGCCAGTTAAGGCAAGAACATACGTGCGTCCAGACAATTAAGTCAAGACGACTGAATCTCCCGGCAAGAACAGTAACGTGTCCAGCCATTAAGGTGAGACTTTCACCCCGTTTACACCTTACTGTTTTTAAAATTGTGTTCAATAAATGAATCTCCTTGTTTCCAAATTTTTCTTCATTTGACCTTCTAATGATTTTGAAATGACCTTCATAACGGTAAAAGTAATATTGAATTTAAACTCAGCAACCCTAAAAATATACTTATAAATTTTTTCAGATTTTTTATACCGATTTTCTCGATTAGACCTTCAAATGACCTTGATATGACTTTCATTTGACCTTCAGATGTCCTTCAGGGGTGAAACTGACAGCGGATTTTAACTAAGCTACTCCAAAAACATACGTATAAATTTTCTCAGATTTTTTAGACCATATTTCTCGATTTGACCTCCAAATGACCTTGATACGACCTTTAGATGTCTTTGAATTATAAAAATCAGCGATCCAAAAAAGCTATAAGTAACCTGGTCAGGTCCGGTGATTATTCTTAGATCAAATATTCAGCTGTGTTATTATTATATTGTTTTTTTTAATTTAATTTTTGTACAGGGTGATTCACTATATTTTGACCCCCATTATCTTTTTTGTTTTAAGAGTTATAAAACAATGTAAAATACAAAAGTTGCACGATATTTTATGAATTGTTCGAAAATGACATTTGAAAAAAAAAATAAAGTCCAAACAAAATGACCACGGGTGTTAATTTTGTTAATTTAAATGGAACACCCTATATATTTTTACATATTTGGATAGGACGTTCTCTGTCGAGCATAGTCATATAGGGTTTGTTGGGTACATCTCTAACAATAAGCGAGATACTATCTTGTAATTGTTAGACATTTAGGCATTTCTGCCTTTTTTCAATTACGTAAGGATGTAGGTACAGATTTAAAAAAAAATCTATAAATCCTTACGTAATTGGAAATAATGAAGAAGTGCCTGGAAGAGGTGGAATTACAAGATATCTTATTTTCTTAATAAAAATCATTATTTCCTTTTTTTAACAGTATCTCGCTTATTGTTAGAGATGGACCCAACAAACCCTATATGACTATGCTCGACAGGGAACGTTCTATCCAAATTTGTAAAAATATACAGGATGTTCCATTTAAATTAACAAAGTTAACATCCGCGCCCATTTTGTTTGGACTTCATTTGTTTGTCAAATGTCATTTTCGAAAAATTCATAAAAAATCGTGCAACTTTTGTGTTTTACATTTTTTTATAACTCTTAAAACAAAATAGTTAAAGGGGGTCAAAATATAGTGAATCACATACATAGTACATTAATCAATGTAATTAAAGATAATTTGGTAGATTTTAATGCCTACAGCTGTATAAAATGTAATTGTGTTTTATGTTGGAATCTGATTTGGACAATGGGCAAATGTAACTGTTTTTGGGCTTCAAAACAATAAACTTTTTCCTTAAACGAGGACTTTTTTAATGATTATTTTGACAATATTTAATATTTATCTGTTTAACTTAAAAAGAAAAAAAAACAAGAAAAGGTCTATTTTGTATTCAATAAAGTGCATAAATATGTGCAGTAGTAGTAACTGCAACTAATTTGAAAAAAAAAATAATTAAAAAATGACATCTTATAATTACGAATAATATCGATCGTAAAAGTGTAGAGAAATAGTTTTAGCAAATGCAAATATTAGCAAATACCTTAGTACAATGTCTTAACATTTAGTAAAATCTTCAGTTGTATTCATAGAACTAATTTTATTTACGAGTACTTATACTAGCTAAGTTTTCTCTTTGTACCAGTGCAAAATCTTTTATTTCTAACTTTTTAACAAAATTGTAATTATAGTTATTCAAGTTTCGATTTGAAAATACATAGCAGAAGCATTTGTTACCTTTTACTCATGAGACCCGTTATTTGAAAAATTGTTTATTTTTTTGAAGGGAGCGTCAGAAACCGTGGCAAATATTAAAATAAATAATCAACTTGTGTTTTCGGAGTGGATTCCAGTGAAGCAACAATAACCATTAGGAATGTAAGTTTCACATCTCCGTCGAATGTTTCAGGTCATTTTATTTCAGGATATGGTGGAAACGGAGCATTTCCATTCGTTGT